GAATTTGGAAGGAAAACCAGGTAAAACGGTGCTAGTTGTGAAATAGTACTAGAATGGTCAATGTCCGCACGATATATATGTCTATTGTTTCTCTTGGTGACAGATTTTGAGTTGCTGTTATAACCATCGCAATCACCTAATGCGCCACAACAATTAAAGTAATAAAAATACAAAATAGTCATATTACTTAATTCCCAACGAGCAAAAGAACTGTTGCATACTGCTCGGGGAGTCTACAGGGTACGAGCAGATGAAATCAATTGATATTGTTAGGCGTGGCTAGCGCCATGAGGTCTGGACGCCCGCACAGCGCGTCTCCGTCCGACTCGCACGCGCACCACGTCCTTGACGCTGTGCCCGCCGCTCCTCGCGTTCGGACGGCCACGTAGCCTGCCCCCGTCTGTCTCGCCCCCTCCTCGCACACGCACCCTGCTCCCATCGCTGCGCCTCGCTCCTTCCCCTTGACCCCCTCCTCTCTCTCCGCGTGGGCGAGACCCGAGAGTCGGCCCCTAGCTCGTTGCGCCCCGTCCGTTGGCCCCAGATCGCTACGGCCCCATCCCCCGGTGCTAGGGCCGTGCGCCCATCACTCATCATGTACCCACGAAACATTTGCAACGTAAAACATTTGGATGCAACGTAAGTCTGCGTAGATGAAACATATTGTTGCAACATATGTGTGAAACATATGCAATATTCAGATAAAACAATTGTAACACGTGTGTGAAACATATGCAACATCCAGATAAAACACTTGCTCTAATGTATGTCTGAAACAAAGTCGGATGGAGAAATGACCAAAATTTAAGTTGTATATGTCGATGTGTTCTACAACTTTGTTGTTGATGACTTTTTCATTTGAAATTATTTAATATTCTAAAATATTGTTCGAAGTTTTCATATTTTAAAATTTAAAATTTAAATTATTTAAATAAAGTCGGATGAAGAAATGACCAAAACAAAAGTTGTAGATCTTGATCATTTATACAACTTTGTTGTTGATGACTTTTCATTTAATGAGATGAGTGTTGCTGCTGTTTCTGATATACATGCACCAGGTGATTTGCTGATGTTAGAAGCTTCTCTCGTCTGCACTTCCGTGAACAGAACACAACAATTTTTTTGTTCGTTTGTCACAGCTGCCTTTGATCTAAGGTTGCAGATTCAGATTACATTTGGAGTTTTTCCATAGGCTAGTGCACCACCTACAGAGACAGTACAAGCCAGGCTTGGTCCTGGTCGGCTGTAGCCTTTCCTGGCCAGCTGAGATACAGCTGTTCGTGGTCGGGCGTTGTATGGCTGGTTATTGTTTGTTATTTTAACTAGCAAATATGCTCTTACGTTGCAACAGGATAAAATGAGGTATTGAATATATATACGGGAAATGAGAACATAAATGCTATATTTTATCCTTTTATGAAATTGGTCATCTATAATCTAAGTTAATATTGACAATAACAGAACAATGTCCTATCAAGTTTATATCAAATTGATACAACTTTGCTAGATTTTTTCTCCCGTGCAAAACACAAAAATATTTACTTCCTATCGAGGCATCCTATCGAACAACCACCAAGCAGGCATGACATGAGATCTAAGATAGATGGAAACGACTCACGACCAACCACGCAGTTGCTACATTTACGCAGTGATGTGAAAGCGATGGCTAGCAGCCTTCGGCGCTGTACTTCACGGTGCTTACAACAAGCGCGCTGCTTGGAGCCGTCATCCAGCTCTGTGTGTCACACACCCACGTCCTTCACTACCGGGAGAGGAGAAAATGGGGTAGCTGGTTGTGCTAGCGGTCCTCTCCGCACCCGTTTGCTCCGGCGTTCCAATATGAGATTGTGGTGGGCGCCCACTCCGTGCCGGCGAGTGGGTTGGCGGCCTCAACGTAGGATCCCGGTGAGCATGGATGCCGAGCCTTAAAACAACGCATAGACGTCGCTCTTCACTCGGTCGTCAGTTGTCGCCGTTCATCGGTCGTCGGTATTTAGTCTTCACATAGATGTCACTCTTCACTCATCGCTCCGCCATCACATGACCAGGCTTTCCGTGGCGGGAGTCCTCGCCAAGATGGGCATCTGGCACGGTGACGCTGACGCCCTTGTTCGGCTTGCGGATGAGCAGATCACGGAGATCAGGTCACGTACCAGCATGACGTCGGAGTTCATGGGACACCCGACGCTGTACACCATCCTCCGGGCCTTTTGTTGATCAACTCAAACACGTCCACCCAACATCGGCAAGGCTCGTAGAACCTGCCATCCGTGAGCTAGATACACGACGTGAAATCGCCAGCGACCTGCACGTTCTTGTACAGCTGCACCCGACATCCGCGGCGCCGTTTGAAGAACGTGCCCATGCGTTGCAACGGGATGGAAATTGAGAACCAAAATGATACATATTTACGTTTCACTCTTTCTATAAAATGTTAAAGCTATAATTTATTAATTTTATGATAATTATGACATTCATAATATAAGCTAATTTTATATCATCACTTTTATATTACATTGGCACGTGCATATTAGACACATTTATTTACACTGATATCGACAACAAATTGCTAGGGATTAGTTGGATCATCGGCTAAATCACACTATAATAAGATAAGTTTTTTTTCTAATCAAAATTGCATCAATAACTTTAGTGGTGTAAATCTGTATTTTTAAGGAAGAGATGAATTTCAACTTATATATATTGTTTGTTTTTAATATTTATATATGTTAAAAAGAAAAAAGGGACGGAAAAAGTCAGAAGTTAACGACAGATGCTCAGATATGGGAAAAGAGGACCGTGAAAAAAGGAAGCCAATCGGATATGATAAAGCGGACAAAAAAAAGATAAATACAAAGAAACTTCTCACGCTAATAAGAAAACCAGAAAAACAAAAATAAAAGGGACCAAAACCCAAAACTCTTCGTGGTTTGGTATTATGATAAGCTTTGTCTGATTTCTATTTTTATTCTTTTCTATTTGAATTAGGATCCCTATTCATGTTGCTTAGGATATTACGAGCAACAATCAATCATATTTGGATTACGATTTCAACTATCTAATATTATCTTAAGAACTCGTGTTGGCTTAGGATTTTGATTCGTACCTATCCAGGTTACCTCAAGAAGGCCTATGTATGTTATTATATATATAAAACATGAGAGTCGTAGAGAGACGAATAGAAATAGTTTTTACATTTACGGAGTTAGTTAAAGAAGGTCAAACCAAAAAAAAATGGGTACAAAAAAATGGAGAAAATTTTGCTATAGATATAGATATAGATATAGATATAGATATAGATATAGATATAGATATAGATATGGGTCATTATTGAAATACGGGCTGATTTAATTATGTATTTGAACCGTTGATTTAGTATATTGATCTTCCATTATGTGATTTAAATATGCTGAGTTAATTTTTAATTGTATGTGCTCGGCTGTTTGTGGGCTGGTCCAGGCAAATTCGGTATGGGCCAGCTCAGACAAAAAGAAATACACGTGGGCTAGCCCAACAAAATTTGCTTTGGGCTGAAAAAAATTGTGTGCTGGACTGGAAAAAATGTGTGGGCTCATAGCAAAAAAAAAGGGCTGAAAAAAGAATCTGCACACTAAAAATAGGCCAGAAAAATGTCGTGTGGGCTGAACCTCACTTGACTTAAATGGGCTGCAAATAAAAATATTAAAAACTAAATGGGTCAAAAAGTACAAAACAAGTGGGCTGCATACACATGGCGGTATTCTGTTTAATATGCTGTGACGGTTTTAGTCCTGTCACATGTTAGTGACAGAAGAACTATTATCGCTGTATCAATGATAGTCCTCTGGTGGTGACAGAAGCTGGTGAGTGCCCCACCTTCTGTGACGACAATCAGTTCATCACTGCAGATAGTCAGTGACAAGAAACAGGTTGTTATCGTCGTAATCTAATTGTCACAGGAGCCTATATTTCTTATTGTGGAACGAGGTGCAGGTGGGACACGCGACGGGCGGGAGAGAGGAGCGAGGAGCAAACGGCGTAGGTGGGGCGGACGACGAGCGGGAGCGAGGAGCGAGCTGCGTGGGCGCGCGGTGGGAGAAGGCCGCAACACCGTGCGGAGTGAGGTGCAGTGTCCGAATGGGACGGACGCTTATGGCAAAGCATTACCGATATTGTATGATTTTTTTAGAGAGCAATGTATGATTTTTTTTTTATTTTAACCCTTTTATTTAAAACTCGTTCAAGAAACTGCTTATACGGGTTTGTAATGTGCAAAATTGGCATTGTTTCTAGGAACGGTAGAGTCGTAGACAAGAGCAGTGGATCAAGTGCGCATGCCTGCTGCTAGCAAGTAGCAAGGCCGCATTCCCCGACCGGCTCGCCAACAGATCGAGCTCGTGTTGTGTGTACGGCTGTACGCAAGCGCTACCCCACCCGCACCCATGAGGCCACAACCGAAATTCCATCCAAGAAGCGCACGCACGCGCTTTGCATGTCTTGCCAACGGCGCACACCATCGGCCGGGCTCCCTTTTCGTTTCGTATCCCCGTCTCCCCTCAGGCAACGCAAAGATCGACGGAGCTGGCGCAGCGTTGCTGCCCTCCCCTCATGCGCGCGGCGTTATTTGCTTCTCCCCACGGCGGCAGAAAGATGGCCTGGCCGGGACTTGTTTGCTCGCCGCGCCCACGAGCTTACTTATTAAAACCTGCGTCTGCGTGCTCCCCCACTCCGTTGTTGGCAGCCCAAAACCTGTGTGCGTGCTCCCCCACTCCGTTTCTCAGGCTTTGCCGGTCACTGGCTTGGCTTGGCCTCATCGTCTCGTTGCTATAGCCCAGGTGAAAGTTGACACGCTTGTACTGCACTTCGTTAGCAGGCAGGAAGTAGCAGCTTCATCTTAACACCCACCCACCTACTACCCTGCTGCAACGGCGGGGGCGCGCGCGAGAGAGAGCGTGCGTTTGTTTACCCTTTTGCACCACCTAGCCTGCACCTGCATTTCTTTGGCGGGCGCGCGCGCGCGGGCCATGGGGAGTTCATGCGTGAACCTCTCCCGCGCCGTCCTCCCCGGCTTCGGCGCCGCCGCCGCCGCCAAGGGAGGAAGCCGACGCCGTGGCCTCCTTCTTCCGTTGATGTCATCGGAGCGGCGGCACGGCGGTGCCGCGGTGGTGGTGTGCTGTACTTCGTCGTCCTCTACTACGACTGCTGCCGGCTCATCGTCAAGGGCGCCGTCGTCGTCCTTCCCGGCGCACGACGGGCTCGGTGGCCGCGATCCGCCAGGAGCCGCCGGCGGGATTGGTGTTGCCGAGTTTCTCGGCGGCAAGAACTTCCTCATCACCGGCGGCACCGGTTTCCTGGCAAAAGGTGATACGTGCTTCGTTTTGCATTTCCTCCCCTCTGTGTGCTTTGGATAAAACCCCAAATAATCCTAGTCCTGTGCTGTTCTGCCACAGTTCTTATCGAGAAGATCTTGAGGACAAATCCTGACGTTGGCAAGATATACGTGCTCATCAAGGCCAAGGACAGCGAAGCAGCGTTGAGGAGATTGCAAAATGAGGTGTGTGTGTGTGTGCATGGCGTTCATTTGCTATATACACTTGTTCTTTCTTTCTTCATACCCTACTAGCTACTAGTGCCCCATTCGCTGTCGTTCATCCATACGTGTGTGTCTGCAGGTCGTAGACACGGAGCTGTTCAAATGCCTGCAGGAGATCCACGGGGAAGGCTACGACAGCTTCATCGCAACAAAGCTGGTCCCCGTCGTCGGCGACGTCAGGGAAGCCAACGTCGGCATTGCGCCCGACCTCGCCGACGAGATCGCCGACCAAGTGGACGTCATCATCAACTCGGCGGCCAACACCACGTTCGACGAGCGGTTCGTGATCGGTGCTATATATACAGTATAGTATATATTGCTCCAAAACTTGTTCGTTCTTCAGTGATCCATCGCCATGACCATCCACTTTCGATTGCTGGTCGCAGGTACGATGTCGCCATGGAAATCAACACCGTGGGGCCGTTCCGGATCATGAGCTTCGCGCAGCGGTTCCGGCGGCTCAAGCTCTTCTTGCAAGTGTCTACAGGTAGGTCTTGAAACTGGAGCTTGTGTTTTCCACTCCCCAAATCAAGCTCTCGATCAGCACTTTGCTTGTGTGTTTGGCGAGCAGCCTATGTGAATGGGCAGAGGCAAGGCCTGGTGCTGGAGAACCCGTTTCGCATGGGAGACACCATAGCCAAAGAGCTGGGTTCCTCATCAGGTTCTGAAGAAGAAGGGTATAAGATCCCCGTGCTGGACATCGAGGCAGAGATCAAGCTGGCCTTCTCCTCCAGAAGACACTCCGATGATTCTCCATCGTTTGCTCAAGAAATGAAAGATTTGGGCCTAGAGAGGTAAATAAATAAGCATATACTATGTGCTACTAGTATAATGCAACTGCAGCAAACGAAGTAGAATGAAGTATAGCTTGATAAGGCGACGATATTTAATTTGGGTTGTGATTGCAAATTGCATTGCTAGGGCAAAACTCCATGGGTGGCAAGACACCTATGTGTTCACCAAGGCCATGGGAGAGATGGTCATCAACTCCATGCGAGGAGAGATACCAGTGGTCACCATCAGGCCCAGCGTCATCGAGAGCACCTGGAGGGACCCATTCCCGGGCTGGATGGAAGGGAACAGGTACCAGTATATACATGTGTATCTTCAGTGATCAAACCTTCAGGTAATGATACTGATCTCTCTTGACATCGGCAAAACTGTCGATGAACACAGGATGATGGATCCTGTGATCCTCTACTACGGGAAAGGCCAGCTGAGCGGGTTCCTCGCCGACCCAGATGGTGTTCTTGATGTGGTAATGATAAGCTGCAGCTAAGCTGTTGATGAGTTGTATAAACGTTCAGCACGTAATGGTCCATGCAATATCTGTCAGTAATGCCCATCTGCTGCTAAGCCAGGTCCCGGCGGACATGGTGGTGAACGCGACGCTGGCGTCGATGGCGAAGCACGGCGGCGGCGCGGCGTCGGGCCCCGGGATGCACGTGTACCACGTGTCGTCGTCGACGGTGAATCCGCTGGTGTTCGGCGACCTGAGCCGGTTCCTGTTCCACCACTTCACACGGTGCCCCTACAGCGACGCGGCGGGGCAGCCCATTCTGGTGCCGCCCATGCGCCTGTTCGACACCATGGAGCAGTTCGCCAGCTACGTGGAGACGGACGCGCTGCGGAGCGTCCGGGCGTCCTCGTCCTCGTCGCCGGCGCTGGCGCAGCGTGCGCGCGACCTGTGCGCCAGGTCCGTGGAGCAGACCGTCCACCTGGGCAGCATCTACCAGCCCTACACCTTCTACGGCGGCCGCTTCGACAACGGCAACACGGAGGCGCTGTTCGCGGCCATGTCGCCGGCGGAGAGGGCGCGGTTCCACTTCGACGTCCGGAGCGTCGACTGGAGGGACTACATCACCAACGTCCACATCCCAGGCCTCCGGAAGCACGTCATGAAGGGCAGGGGCGTCGCCGCCAACCAGCTGCTCGCCAGCACCTCCGTGTGAGTGTGACCGTCGGCCGGCCGGCCGGCAAAAGGAACGCGCGACGGCGGGCGTGTACAGTTTCTGCCAGGCCTAGACTGTTGCTGTTGCTATATGTCATGCCGTTGCCGCCACCACACCACGGCCGATGACCGACGACGACCAATCTTGCCACTCCATTTCCACAATACGTAGCAGCAATCTAAGGTTGACTTGGGTACGCCATGCTTGCATCGCATTACCGATAGATATACGAGATCGTTCTCATCTCTCCGTGTTGAGCTGTTGATTCTTGTACTCTCGTGTAGTCAAAACAAAAATGAAGGCTGTGATCATCAGTGACCGAAATTCATCAAGGATGCACTCTTGCACATATGACACACAAAACACTAGCAATCGAACATGGTGCTGTCTGCTAGTGCCATTCTTAACACTGTAAGCCATTCTTTACCAAAATTTAATTACTGATGAAAAGGTGTTTAACAGTGCCTTGCCATTGATGAATGATGATACAAATTAGTACACGCCTATTGGTACAAGCTTACGCTACACAAGTACAAATGGAAGTTCAGTCTTTTATGCCAATTCCACGCCTCTGTAAAAAGTGCATAAAAGTGAGGGCGGCGAGAGTTGTAAGTGGATGGCCGCCCTTCTATATCACCTGAAAGGCTAAAACTCGGGCATGGCTTGGCACAATTGCTTTCTCAGCTCAGGATTGCAGCATCTCTTGCACTGACCAATGGCAATGGGGGCCTCAAGTTTTGCATAGTGCTTTGGTATTCCCCTGTTATTTCTGTGTGACCCTTGATCCAGCAGATGTTGACATAGACTATCACGGCACAAGCTGGGAAAAGGTAACATCGACAGCTCAAAGGAAATAATCCGGTGTTCTTCGCGTCACGTCTGGCTCACCTCTCCTAGGGGCTGGTTCAAACTATGATAATAGGAAACCAAAATTGGTAAATCGTACAAAGCAGTTTAGACACACATCATAAGATGATATGAAGTCTATTTGGGGAGAAAAAAACATATGGATGCCTTTTCAGGAAAAAAAAAACATCTACATGCTGATAGTACATTCATATCAGGGTGATGCCACAAAAATGAGCCAAATAAAACGGAAAAGTAGCAGAGTTATGTCGTAAAATTACCTGGATGAATGTGTGACTGTTGCAGTCGTCAACTTCCAAAATGGATGCCATATTGCCGCATCGATAGCAATAGTTTGGAGCACTGAATATGGTGACAACCTTTTGTTCCTGTAAATTCATGCATCATGCATGATCAGAAAGATTACTTCACTCAAAACTCAGCTCATTAAGCATTCCAAGGTCAAATCAGCTTACATGAGCCCAGTTATATCCCTCCATAACTAATTGATGAGCCCGAGCTACAAGTTTGAGATTGTTCGTGTGATTAAACTGCTCCGATATGTCCTGGAGAAACAAGGAATAAATGAATAATAACTTCGAATTAAAAAGGTATAAAAGTGGTAACATGAAAACAGATGTGTAGTACCTGGCCAAAAGTGTAGCCAGCACCACGAGGGGATATGCCCCAACCACATCGATCGTCTGGATCTGACCATAAAAGATCGCACATAGGTCCCTCATGAGGAACCTCTTGGACTCGATCTAAGCTGCGCACACTATCAAGATTTTCAATTGATGGAGATAAACCACCATGAAGGCAGAAAATCTCAGATTCCACCTTCAAGAAGAACATAAATACTGTATCAGTAGAGTCCATGGATGGACAGACAGTGCCATGATGTTGAGAAAACACAAGGGATATAGCTACTTTATGGTATAGTACTATGGTGGTAGAGACAGAACTACAGAATTCTTTGAATGTATGATCATGATTTATCATCGTGTCAAATATTTGAACAATTAATTCATATACAATTTGATAAGTAAAGATTTCAAGAGAGGGCAACATATTCGCGACGGAGACAAACCATAACATCGCCATTCGCCAGCCTCTATTCCATAGAACAGTCAACCACAACACAACACAGATTACTGACTCTTCAACCAAGAGTAAACAACATAGCAAGTATAAAAAAACAAACTGAGAAAGTGAGAAGCAACATAGCACAGCATAGTTGCCACCATATCACAACCATTTCATTCTACAGCTGCTGGAATTGACAAACAAATGAATACAATTGATGTTCAAGAGGGTGTTCCAAATAATTGGAACATCTGAATACAGAATACAGACTGGTTCTCAGTTTCTAACACGCTCTAACAGGTTAAAAGAAGTTGGTCATAACCCATAAATATACTGCTGGATGAAGAATCTAAAATTGGTGAAGCTAAAAAAGAACGGCCAAATTCTAGCTACTAAGCTATTTGTGGTTCTAGCTACTACGCCATTTTAGCGTTTTAAGATTCACATGCTGCGTATTGAGAAGATGGTGCATAGAAGAGACGCTCCAGATACAACTGAAAATAGGTGATTCCAGTGTTAAGAGTACACACCAGAGCTGTCAGAGGAAAATAGTCAAAAAGATCCGTAAATGTCTTCCATACATTTGCATTGCCATACCTGGTTTAAAATAAAGCAGTTAGCAACAGAAATGACAAGAAGCTAGGATTATATTGTGGACTTTAGGAAAAACCATTACCATTCTTACAATCAACTTACATCTTACATGAACCAATGAGTTTATATAAGATAACAAACAATATGATCATTGAACTTTCATACCAGCTCCTAAGCATAGTGATGGTGCACCATCAGACGAAAGCTATACACAATGAAAAAGAAGTATCTAGCAGTCCAAAGAAGTCTATTAATGCAGTAATAGAAAAGGCACAAAATGCCAAAGATATTTTGCATATGTGAAAAAAATTGGGATGACTATACCAAACTAAATCTGAAGCTAACACACAACTGTGATTAAGAAAAAAGATTACACATAGATCTCACACAGGTAAAGTTACAGTATGTGTTATGTAGGAACATGGTACGCCTGGAATTGTAAGTCGAACTTTAAGCACCTAAACAAACTCACTTTCGTAGGCATTCGTCGTAGAATCCATACACCTGTGTGATCTGCAACCATAAAATAAGAGTTTCAGTTTGAACCAGAAAACACAAAAAAAAAATGATCATTAATAGGGATGGAACTCCGCCTATGTTGTCTCAACATAGCAGGTCCCAAGCCCTGGTAAAGGAGGGTTGTGATAGGCGTGGCGAGTCAACGTTAAATCTAGCCATTCTAATGGAGATGAAACCCGAAAGAAAACTGTTGGGGCGTAACCCTCTTAGCGACGCGCCATATCGGAACCCGGGTATGGTGTTAAATGAGCAAGGGCCGGGTCGTCACCCCCGTGACGCGCCGTGTCGCGATCTGGGCACGGTGTCAAGTGAACAAGGATCGGGTCGTCGCATCCTTAGTGGCGCGCTACATCGGCGCCCGGGTGTAGTGAAAAATGAGCAAGGGTCTTCACATCTGAGTCGAAGAGTGCGAAGGGTAAGGAAGCTAGTCGAACCAACTAGGATCCGTTTAAGTAGTTGGAATGTAGGGTCGCTTACAGGTAAGTTAAGAGAATTAGTTGATACCGCGACTAGGAGGCATGTAAATATATTATACGTTCAAGAGACTAAATGGAAGGGTCAGAAGGCGAGGGAGGTGTACAATACAGGTTTCAAGCTTTGGTACACAAGGACAGTTACGAATAGAAATGGAGGAGTTTTGATTGATAAGAGCCTCAAGAATAATGTGGTGGGAGTGAGAAGGCAAGGAGATAGGATTATCTTAGTCAAGCTTGTCATTGGTGATATGGTCTTGAACATAATTAGTGCGTATGCCCCCCAAGTAGGCCTCGACGAGAGTGCTAAGAGACAGTTCTGGGAAGACTTAGATGGTCTGATTAGAGTTGTACCTAGTAGTGAGAAGCTTTTTATAGGAGGAGATCTTAATGGTTATGTAGGTACTACAAGCGCAGGTTTCGAGGCAGTTCATGGAGGTTTTGGGTATGGTAGTAGGAATCAGGAGGGGGAGGACGTTCTGGACTTCGCGGTAGCTTTTGACCTGATGATAGCCAACACTTTCTTTAGAAAGAGAGAATCTCATCTAGAGACCTTCAGTAGCGGACAACACTCTAGCCAGATTGACTTTGTCCTCACAAGAAGAAAGGACAAACGAGCATGCTTGGGTTGCAAGGTGATACCAGGGGAGTGTGTTGTTTCTCAACATAAGCTTTTGGTGGCAGACTTTCGTTTTCAGGTGCGTGCCCGTAGGGATAAACAAGCTAAGATTAAAAGAACAAAATGGTGGAAACTGAAAGTGGAGACGTCAGAGGTATTCAGGGAAAGGGTTATCAAAGAGGGCTCTTGGAAGGAAGAAGAGGATATAAACAACATGTGGGAGAAGATGGCAACCAACATTCGGAAGGTGGCCTCAAAGGTGTGTGGAGTAACCAAAGGAAGTGGAGACGAGGCTAAAGATACTTGGTGGTGGAACGAGGAAGTCCAAAGGGCTATTAAGGAGAAGAAAGAATGCTATAGACGCTTGTACCATGACAAGAGTGTGGACAACATAGAGAAGTACAAGGTGGCAAAGAAGACTGCAAAGCGAGCTGTAAGTATGGCAAAGGGTAGAGCGTACGTGGATCTTTACCAACATTTGAGTACGAAGGAAGGAGAGGACATTTATAGGATGGCTAGAGTTCGTGAGAGAAAGACAAGGGACTTCAACCAAGTTAAGTGCATTAAGGATGAAAGGGAGAATCTCTTGGTGAAGGAGGATGAGATCCGACATCAATGGCAAGAGTATTTTGACAAATTGTTCAATGGTGACAATACGAACACAACCTTTCATTTGGATGACTCTTGATGACACCAATAGGCGCTTTGTGCGGAGAATCTAAGAATCTGAAGTCAGAGAGACATTGAAAAGGATGAAAGGAGGTAAAGCAATGGGACCTGATGGTATCCCAATCGAGGTGTGGAAATGCCTCGAGGACATAGCTATAGTATGGCTAACCAAGCTGTTCAACCATATTTTTTGA